AAGTATTCTCCTCTACATCACAACCCTGCCATTTCACCAAGAACTCTTGGAGATCCTTCCTTGAGGTGTGAATTACTTGATCATCAAGAATAGGTTCAACACGCCTTTTCTCGGTTGAATTGCGGCCTCGAATACTTGGTATTGTGAGTTGGCTCCATGAAGGATCCTCCGTGTCTTCTCAAAAAGGTTTCAGAAGGCTGACATGGATGACGGGATGGATTTTCCACTAATCTGGGTTATCCATCCGATATGCTACTTTCCCAATGTGCCTTTCAATGGACAAGGGTCCAATGTATTCTTGCAATAGGCGAGGGTCATGGACCCCTGCAAAGAAGTACCGCTTTGGGATTTTGACCATCACTTTGTCTCCTAATTGGTATTCAACAAAACGACGATTTTGATCAGCATGCCTCTTCATCCGATTTTGGGCTTTGACAAGATAACTTCGCACTATCTCCAAATTTCGCTTCCATTCTTTTGAGAAGCAAGCAGCTCGAGGAGATTTTGACATGTTTGGTGCATTCACGGTGTGTGGGAGTAGTGTTTGCTGCCCGGTAACAATTTCAAATGCGCTTTTGTCACGATCCAATTCCCAACCCGGTCGTGATGGCGCCTCTCGTGAAGACAAGGCCAGCCAACAGAACAACAACGCCTCTTTCAAAAATTTTTAAACATAAATGATTAGATAAATACAACTTAATGACAATAACAATCGATATATACGACCCAACACAGCCCGACCGGGGTGTCACAAGTCACGAGCATCTAAGGAAGTCTGAACACGACCACAGGGTCAATAATATACATAATAAAGTTTAGAATCAAAAGACGAAGTCCGGTGTCGCGAATGCCGGCGATCACCTTGCTCGGCTACGATAGCAAATCCTCAACCAGCTCAAACCCGCTACCGGGTAACCAATACCTGCATCTGCACGCGAGGTGCAGGGAGTAAAGTGAGTACTCCAACTCAGTGAGTAACAAAGGTAAATAATAACTGAGCAGCAAGAAATCACGAAAGGCACTCCATCATGCTATATAGGACAGTGCTACCGTTTGAGAAAACAGTAAAACCGTGAAATCCTTTAGAAAATCCATCTGCGCTCAGTTAAAACCTCTTTTGAAAATGTCTTTTTCAACAATTAAGCGAATGACTGCGAAACAGATAGTGCAAGTCAGCACATAAGTCAGCCCCTCGGGCACAACACTCCATCAACAAATAACACTAGGGTATCAGGTAAGCAGTGCAAGAAGTAGCATAGAAGCCAATGAAATGCGAGTGCTGAATGTCATGACACGTAATACAAACAGGAACCAATGCATGAGTGCAATGCAATGCATATGACCACTGCGGCGTGCAGCCCGAGCCAACCATATTTAACGTCGACGGCGCTCACTGGGGGTGTGTACAGACTCCGGAGGGGCTCCTACAGCCCAAGCGCAATAATGAAGCCATCTCGTGGCATCAACCAGGCCCTCGGCCTCAATATCAATACAGTACCACTGCGGCGCGCAGCCCGAGCCATCCATATATCCAAAAATCACTATAACACTGCTGCGGCGCGCAGCCCGATCCATGCTCAGTCCAGAAATGCACATAAGCCACTTGGGCAATATCAAAATAATGGTTCTCAGCTCAAAACGTCAATAAAATATTGTTTAAATTTTCAAATCTTAGAAAAAAATGGCTGAGTTTGCAAAAGAAACAGTATTAAAACTCTGGATCGAGATCAAATAATATGCAAAGTAATGCGAAAACAGTGATATCAATCCCTGAAGGATTCACATAGTTGGCACGAAGCCCGAACATGGCAATCAACCCAAATTATGATGATAACAAGTAGTCTCAGTCAAATACGCGGTAAAAATCAACAACCGGGATGGACCAAGTCACAATCCCCAACGGTGCTCTACCCCACGCTCACATCCGGCGTGCAAGTCACCTCAATACAGCACTATGATGTGCAAATCCGGGGTTTCAAACCCTCGGGATATCATTTACAAGTATTACTCACCTCGAACCGACGAAATCTCTAGCTCGCGACGCCTTTTCTCCTCAAATCGACCTCCACGCGCGTCGAATCTATCCAACATTAGAGCGAATACATCAGAATATGCTAAGGGAACAATACCCAATCGAAAACAATCGAAAAAATAGCAAAAATCTCGAAACTAGCAAAACCCGAGCCCCGGGTCCACTTCTCGAAAAATTACAAAACTCACATTACCGGATTCCTCGTCTCGCCACGAGTCCATACATACCAAGAACTCCCAAATCCGAGCTCAAATGACCTATCAAATCCCACTTTGAAATATAAAAAACTCAAGCCCTAGTTATACCCCTTTTTGATGAATTTCAACCAATTTCCATGTTAAATCTATTATAATCTCGTGTATTTAGGCCAAGGAACTTACCTCCAATCAATCCTCCTTGAATCCCTCTTCAATTTATCCCAAAGAGCTCTCAAAATACTCAACAATGGTGGAAAAATGACTACAACTCGCGGATGAAATGTTTATAAACTCACTGCCCAGCACTGGAATTCCTTCTTCGCGAACGCGGTCAAACACCCGCGAACGCGTAGCATAAAAATGCGTTGACCAATTTTTACCTTACGCGAACGCGGCATCCCAGACGCGAACGCGATGCCTATTCCGCTTGAACCTTCGCGAACGCGGTATCCTGCACGCGAACGCGTAGCTTCCACTTGCCATACCATCGCGAACGCGAAACCGTATCGCGAACGCGGAACACAAAAGACCTCACCCCTTCGTGGATGCGGGACCAACATCGCGAACGCGAAGGCAAAATTCACAGCCTCCTCATGCATCCCTACGCGAACGCGAGAGCCTTCTCGCGAACGCGAAGGCCAAAAGTCTGCAACAGAAACTTCAGAAGATCTGCAACTTCAAAATACCAACAATGGTCCGATTGATCCTCCGAAACTCACTCGAGGCCCCCGGGACCTCAACCAAAAGTGCCAACACAACGCTAAAACCATTAAATCACATCGGATTCAAGCCTAAGTTTCTTAAAAACTTTCGAAATACGCATTCGATCAAAAACCCAAGCAAACGGCGTCCGAATGACCTGAAATTTTGCACACACATCACAAATCACATATCGAAGCTACATCAACTCTCGGAATTCCATTCCGACCCTCGGATCAAAATCTCACCCATCAACCGGAATTCGCCAAAATACTAACTTCGCCAATTCAAGCCTAATTCTACACCGGACCTCCAAAATCGATTCCGATCACACTCCTAAGTCATAAATCATCCCCTGAAGCTAACCGAATCACCGGAAATCACATCCGAGCCCTCCAACTCAATAGTCAATATTCGGTTGACTTTTCCAACTTAAGCCTTCCTTAAAGAGACTAAGTGTCTCATTTCTTATTAGAACCAATCCAAATCAATTCTAACACACCACATACCGATAACGAAACATGAAGAAGCATAAAATGGGGGAAATGGAGCGGTAATACATGAGACGACGGGTCGGGTCGTCACAGCTTTTGTTTGTACTAGAACTCATTTGTGAATTGAAACACAGTTGAGCAGCATCCAAAAGCTTCACCCAATTCTTCTGCGATCTGGTAACAAAGTGGCGGAGATATTCCTCCAACATACCGTTGAACTGCTCCGTCGGGCCATCTGATTGCGAATGAAAACTTGAGTTGTGACTCCATTTTGACCCGAGGCACTTAAATAGTTGGGTCCAAAAGTTGCTAGTGAAGCGTGAGTCACAATCACTAACGATGTCTTTGGGCAGGCCCCAATATTTGACGACATGAGAGAAGAAGAGTCGAGTTGTATCTTCTTCTGATATATATTGGGCCTGCATTAAAGGTGGCATACTTGGAAAACCGATCCACCACAACCAAGATAGTTGTAAGATCTCCGACCTTGGGCAATCCGGTGATGAAATCCAGAGAAAAGCTTTTCAAGGTCTCTTTGGGAGAGCTAGTGGTTCAAGAGTCCCGCTTGTGTCAAGCGGTCTGACTTGTCCTTCTGGCATACTAGACAAGTCCTCACATACTGAGCAATGTCATCGGTCATTTGAGATATGCACGACGAAGTAATGCTATGGTGCGTTCTTCACCGGGATGGCAGGCCCACCGAGTATCATGACATTCTACTAGAAGAGTCTTTTTCAGATCTCCTCCTTTAGGAACATAAAGTCAGTTCCTTTTCACTTTCAGGAAACTATCCTCCATGTAGAACTGGTGAGTTTTGCCTGTCCTACTAGATCAACCAAATACTATGCAGCAGGATCCTTGATGAGTAGATCCTGTATCTGGTCATTTATGGTGGTGGCTACTTCTCTCCCCCTTAGGGTGGCGAGTAGGCACACCGATGCTAGGTCAGCTCTCCCACTGAGCGAATCAGGAACATGATTAGTCTTCCCACTTCGGTATTCCAGATTGAAGTGAAATTCCGCTAGGAGTTCCTGCCACCGGGCATGTCAGCCATTCATCTTCGGCTGGGTCATTAAATAGCTACTAGATGTGTGGTCTGTCTTGACCACGAACGGGGTTCCCAGCAGATAATGCCTTCAAAGGCGTAAGCAATGAACAACATCCAATGATTCTTTCTCGTGGGCGGCATATCACCGTTCTGCGTCCTTCAGCTTTCGGCTCCTGTATGCTACAGTATGCCCTTCTTGTAGTAAGACTCCACCAAGAGCATAGTCTGAAGTATCCATTTGTACCTCAAATGGCTTGGCCAAATAAGAGAGGGCCAAGACGGTGCTACTAGACATGGCCGTTTTTAATGCGTTGAAGGCCTCCGCTCACCTGGGTCCCCAATCCCAAGGCGTGACCTTCTTGAGTATTTCTGCCAATGGCACTACGATGAGGGAGTAATTTTTCATAAATCACCGTTAGAAATTTCATAGACCAAGGAACACCCTTGGGCGGCAGGTTTGTGATAGTTTGAACCTTTTGCTGGTCCATCTTGTTCCGCCCTTCCTCAATGACATGTCCGAGTAAGTCAATCTATTTTTGAGCAAAGGAGCACTTGGATAGCTTCGCATATAATTTGTGTTCCCGCAACCGGGCTAGGACCTTTTGCAAATGCTCCAGGTGTTCTTCTAGTGTTTGGCTATAAACCACAATGTCATCCAAATAGACCACCACAAATTCGTCAATGTACTCTTCGAAGACTTGGTTCATCAGGGTGCAAAATATGGCTGGAGCTTTAGTCAAGTCGAACGGCATAACCAGGAAGTCGAACGACCCATATCTTGTCCCACAGGTCGTCTTGTGTTCATCACCCTCAGCAATATGAACTTGCCAATACCCTGTCTTCAGGTCAATTTTTGTGAACACCGTCGCACTCCCCAATCTATCAAACAAGTCTTCCATGAGCGGAATAGGATACTTGTTCTTCATGGTGATTTTGTTTAGAGCACGATAATCCACACAGAGTCGTAGACTGCCATCATGTTTCTTTTGGAATAACATAGGGGACCCATATGGGGACTTGGAGGGCACAATGATCCTGTGTCTAGCATCTCCATCAACTGTCTCTAAAGCTCGGTGTGTTCGGGTTGTGACATTCTATAAGGTTCCTGGGAGGGTGGCTTCCACCCGGCACCAACTCAATCTCATGGTCCACAGTGCGCCCAGGCGGGAGTCTCTTTGGAATATCCTGTGGCATGACGTCTTCAAACTCCATTTGTAGCTCCTTTACTGGTGTAGGAATGGGGCCGCAGGAGCGTTCTATATCTTCAATGCATAGGGTAGCCAGGAACATAGGTTCATGTCTTTTGACTCCCTTCTTCAACTATAAGGCCGAGATATTCTCAGCAGCCATCTTCATGGGCATGCACGGGATAATGTAGGGCTTGGCCCCGTTTTCTCCCATCATCAGAAGCATGTCTGCATATGGCACGGGCATGGTGTTGGTTTTCCTTTAGAATTCCAACCCAACTATCAACTCGAAGTCATCTATGATCACCACGGTGCAAGTTGAATTTTCCTTCATAAGAACCCAGCTTCACGGTACTTCTTTGGCTATTCCACCCACTGGCTGAGGAGGTGAGTTGATAGCCTTGACATGACCTACGCCCTTTACTACAACTATACCAACCTAGTTGAGGCCAAGTAGTTGTGGGTAGAACTCGTGTCTATCATTGACTGAATGGGCTTGCCATTTACCTTCAGTTCAATGAACATTGGGGTCCTCGCTTGTTTAAGAAGAGTCCTCTCATACGCGTTCTTTTTCCCTTTCTTGATGATTGGGCAGGGGTCCTTCTTCTTACAGATACCAACACTGGTTCCCGCTAATGCCTCAGGAATAGAGCCAACAATTGCATTGAAGGCACCTATTGGTTCGGTCTGCTCCGCATCATCTTCTTCGTCATCCGTCCCATCATTAAAAGCTTGATGGGCGTTCATCTGTGCATGTGGACATTCATTATTCCAATGTGGCCCGCCATAATGATGACATCCTGAAGGGGGCTTTCTCCCCCGATCATTGTTCTTTTGACGCAGCACTGTTGTTGCCTGAGGAAGAAGCCTTAGATTTGGTGGCACTCTGATCTCCCCCACTTCTGCTAGGGCCACCATTATTAGGCTGACCTCCTTTGTATCCCGCTCGGACAGGCGGTTGAGGCCTATCCTTCCGAGTTTTTGCTTGATAGTCCCCAAGGCATTTCACTTCTTGGATAGCCTTGGGTAGGGTATCTACTCTTTGTCTTTGCAGCTCCATGCGGGGATAAGGTTTTAACCCTTCCAAGAATGTAAAGAATTTGTCTTTGTCCCCTATGTCACGTATGTTCAGCATGAGCGCGGAGAATTCTCGCACGTAATTCCGTACAGATTTGGTCTGGCAGAGCTCCCGTAGTTTTCTCCTTGCATTGTACTCAATATTTTTGGGGAAGAACTATAGGCGTATGGCTGCCTTAAGTTCTTCCCATGTCTCCAGAGCATTTTCACCGGCCCTGATGGCTTCGTACTTCACTCGCCACCAGAGTTTAGCATCACCCTGAATATACATGGCATCAGTTGCTACCTTCTTGGCTTCTTCTAGGCCTCCCACGACATCAAAGTACTGCTCGATGTCGAATATGAAATTTTCCACTTCTTTAGCATTCCTAGCTTCACTGTATGGCTTTGGCTCAAGAATTTTTCAGTTTTTGTGCCACAGGGAAGAGGTTCGCAACACCCCCGATTTGGTTTTCACCTCCTCGAAGCAAGCCTTGTAAAGCAGCATTGACCACATTGAGCTGGCCTGTCAAGTTGTCTATAGTTTGTTGCATGACATTCACCATATCTACCTCTTGTGCCTTGTAGGCTAAATCCTTAGCACGCTCCTGTTGGAGGCCCTTGAATTTACACAAAATTTTGGCTGCCTCTGTGGCTGCCGTTTGCCGGCCTCCTTCAGAGTCACGACTGATATTTTCTATGTCAACTTCGGCCTGGAGCATTCTGCGGTCCAGGTCGTCAAACCCTTTGCACTGGGTTGGTTCTTAGTTCAGGCACCGTATCCACAATGGGTCGTAATACATCAACCGTCTCTTTAAGGGCCGAAATGCGATCCCCATGATTCACCATGGTCCGAAATTATGGTAATGGCAATGTGTTCCCTCGTCCGATGTCGAGCCTAGGCTCTGATACCAACTGTTATGTGGAGCCTTCCTAAGATTCCTTGGAACGGTGACATAAGGCTAAGCAATTAATGTCAGTGCAGTTACTATCCGCCAGTTGAGGTCCCCTCCGTACGCTAGACAAGATTGTTCGTGTCGTACGAGAAAATCAATGTCAAGAGCAATTGAGAGAACAGAAATGAGAATTGAAAGAAATCTTGATTGCATTAATGAAAGCTATTACAAAAAAGAAACGCGGTGTCAAGGGGGAGAGACACCAATACAGAGAATTGTTTGCTTGCTAGAAAGTTTTGATTGCTTGATCCTCCCTAATAATACTTAAAAAAATAAACCAAAGTTACAAGACTTGACCTAACTAAGCTAGGGAATCATAATGGAAATACATGGAATAAAACTACTCAATATTTATAATGAAAAGGACTTAGTTTTCTACAAGGTAGAAACAGGTCCGTTGTCGGCAACCTTATCTTTGGCATCACGATCTGTGCGCGCGGCGTTTTCTGCACGTGCGGCGTTGTTGGCAGCTTCCTATGGCTAGGCGCTAGCGAGGGATATCGGTGGGGCGACGGAGGCAAATGCGCGCTTGTCACTTGGCGCAGCCAAGACCACGGGGCCATCCGTGGCGCTAGGCTTTGGGAGGCTTGCCAAGATGCCACGGGGCGCGTCCAAGGGGTCATGGGGCATGGCTGGAAAGCCGCCCATGACATAAGGCATGACAAATTTTTATATGATTAACTTTTTAAACCGAAAGGTAAAAAAGCCATTCTTTTGAGGCCATATCGGACTAATTCAAGAGCCTAAGGGCTGTTTTATTTTTTAAGTTCGAGAAATTATCCTTACTCAACTAAAATTTAAGGGTCACCCTACTTCGAGTTCGAGCAAGTACTCACTCGATTATAAAGACTACACTAGTCCGACTTCGATCTGATTGCCTAAGTCTCAAACTTGTGAGCAAAATCTCTATAAGGCATGAAGGCATGAATAAAATAGAATTTTCACGAGGCAGGAAAAAGAAAAAAGACAAGTCAAAGAGAAAAAAGATCTTTTATATACGAAGATATTTACAAGAACCGATCAGGGTCCCACGCAGAAAATAAAAAAATGAAAAATTCTAATATTCCCAATTTTCCTCGAGGGCAGCTTCTTCTCCATCGGGGTCCTCCCCATTCTCGGACCCGCTCTTGCTGTCGTCATCATCATCGTCATCAGAGGAGGCCAGTGCCCTAGCATCGTCTTCGTGCTCTTTGGCCTTCTTTATCTCATCAGTAAATTCGAAACCTCGAGCATGAATTTCTTCGAGGGTCTCCCTATGAGATTGGCATTTAGCAAGCTCGGCAATCCAAAGAGCTCGAGATTGGGCGGCCTCGGTAGACTCTTTTGCTTGCTCTTGAGTAGTTTCAGCATCGGATCGCTAGATGGCTACGATCGAAGCTGAGGTCGAACCGGATCGGCAAAAGACGAGGACGTGGACGAGCATCACCAATCTTAAGATTTAGAGAATATTCTATGGATATTCTTTTCTGTTATTACATTTAGGGTTTTGTGGCCCTTATAAATAGGAAGTGACGCAGATCAGAAAAGATGATTGGACCTTTTGTAAAGAAATTTATCAACATTCTCTGTACAAGATTGTCACTTTATTGAATAGAAATAAAACTTGGCTTTACACTTCTCTCCTGTTATTCCTCTCTCCCCATCCAAGAAATATCGGAATACACGATCGTTTATCATCATCCATCATTATCAGAAAACACATCCGAGAATCTCATTCTTGTCGGGTGATCATTGTCTCATTTACTATTTAGAAGCTATTTATTATGATTTATTGCTCTCCTTTATATTTCTAAGTCTTTATTGTTCCATTATTCCCTCAAGATAGTCTTCTTTAATATTACATATTAAATACTCGCCTTAAAGTACTAGATCTGTCATTGAATATTAGTGTTGGCTATGATTAATCTTATTTTTCAATAAATCTAATTGTATAAAACAAAGACATATTTTTGTTGGGTCACACAGGTTGAACCTTCTTCCTGCGTGTTTGACAAGTGAAATATCGTCAGTTATTTTTTTCATGTAGATATTTCTTAATCTCTCTGATTAATAACAGGAAGATGAAAAATGCTATTGCAGAATAGGGTTCGTGGATTATAATTTATACATCACCACGTTATCTATTATTTGGTATGTAGCATTCCAAAGATCGACCATTAAGGATGTTGATTATCGTACCTATAAACTATGCTTTTATGGAATTAGACTGGAAAAGTATTTACTATTGATGTTAACATACTAATTATATTTGTTTTTATTTTGTCATGTTGAAAATTGACCTATATATAAGTAAGCATGACACTGAAAATAGTTGTGTACAATTAGCCTTTTAGTGTTATAAAATAATAAGAGAAGAAGAATAGTATGGCAAAGAAAAGTAGGGAGAGAGAATACTTATTGATTTTGGGATGAATTACAATGGGAATAGAAGTCTCTATTTATAAGGAGAGGGTGACTTAGCCACCAAGCAATGAACCATAGAATCTCTCTAAATATAGACATTCACCATAAATACAATTCTATTTATAACACTCCCCCTTGAATGTCTATTCAACAGATAATGTGCCTCGTTAAAACCTTAACTAAAATAAAACCTAGTGGGAAAAAATTCTAGAGAAGAAAAAAGAGTACACATATCTAACAATATGCCTTTTGGTTGCCTCGTTGAAAACCTTGCAAGGAAAACCAAATGGGACAAAACCTTGTAAGAGAAAAAGAGTACAACGC